CTTTTCTGCGTCGCCTACGTCACCATACGTCAGCCTGATCGGACACACCCTGCCAGCACCCGGTCACTTTCAGCGCCAGCGTCCGGTTGAAGACCGACACCTGCACGCTCTCTGCCGCCACTGACCGGACATAGGACCCCAGCGTCTGGTCCACTCTGTGAGACCCTATCTTTTCTGTATAGGGCACCGGTGGCACTATCGGACTGTCCGCACTCTGGGGGGACACTCTGCCGGTGGAGTTCCTAACCATTCTTGTCTCCGTTTCATCGCCGAGTTGATCCACATCAACTCCAACTTCATCTCCTTTATAAATGTGCCAACACCACCAAGTGTACACCATCATGTGTATGTGTGTTAGCATTTTCACAATCATTTTCTAAAGGATTAGCCACTCAACTTGCCACGCCACTCGATCTTAGCGATGATGCAAAGTTAGATCACTCTAATAGCACTAGATGACCGATATGTAAACAAGTTTGCCCATCTTGATAGTACGACCATCTATCCTAAACCTGGTCATCAACTTCTCTACACACCTATGACCGGTGAAATGAAATACCCTAGGTTATACCTTTGCCTTGCGTATTTCATTCCATCTCCTCCAATGTCGATGCAACACATGCACCAACATGATCAATAATGATATGATCCACTTCATATCATCACGTGATCATATTGGTTCATTGATCTTGACTTCACTTGCTTTTCACCGTTGCCTTCGTCCATCGACGTCAAGTCTTGCTTAAGCTTCATCGCCACGCGGTCCATCGCTCCAAAGCCTCCGACTTGTCCTTCACGCTTGCAACTGGTCCATCAAACCAAGCCTTGTCTTGATCTTCTTCACCTTGATCACATGACTCAATGTCATGTTTCATGTGCAATAAACTCCTTCATCATCACATGTGTGAGCTTTGCAACATCTCAAAACTATTTTCACCTTCACGGCATATGTTGCTCACACACATGTACTTGTGGACTAATCTCCTGTGTATCTTATATAAACACAATTAGTCCACATAGGGTTGTCACTCAATTACCAAAATCACACAAGGACCTTTCACCGACGCCGGCGACGAACATGGCGGCACCTGGAGCACGCGCAGGAGCATGGCCTCCTCGGCGCTGGCGACGAACATGGCGGCCCCGTGCCTCCTCGTGCTCGTGCTCCTCTACTTCCTCGTCGGTGGAGGACGCGCAACCCTGGCCATAGACGAGCTGCGCCGCGTCTCTTCGTGCGCGGTCGCTGTCGGTACCGGCGAGCCAGCTTCCCCGCCGGAGACGAACATGGTGGCACCTCACCGGACCTAGGAGCTCGCGCGGCCAGAAGGGGAGGAGCCGGACCTCGCGCGCGCCGCTGGGGATGGGGGAGCAGCGACCGAAAGGGGAGGAGCTGGACCTCGCGCGGCTGACCATGGGGGAGGCACGTCGGGGATGGGGACGCACGCGCGGTAGAGACCGTGCCCGCGGCAGAGCCCACGCGCGACGGATCTCGTGCCTGCGTTCGCTATCGGAGCAGCGCTGCTAGCTGGGGTGGTGCGCAAACCTCGCGCTCGTCGGCTTCATCTGCTGCTGCTCGCATCTGGGAGGGAGGATGAGGCTGAGCTGAGAGGCGCGTAGGCCGGGATGCATCTTTACCAAGCGAGAGGGTGAGACGGAAGAAGAAGAAATAGATGAGGGGTAACAAATCATTTCGCATCCCACAGACATACTGGCTTCTCTACGTGTCCTGCTACGTATGCAAAAATGGCTTAACGTTATGAATTCTTCTCTCTCGATAGTAAATATGTGGAGTAATTTTAAGAGTGCTTTCTAACGGGGTGACATTCGTTATAATGGTAAAAAGTTAAATATGCCCCATTGAAGTCATGAAGCAGCAGGACCCCACACTAGGGTGGGTGCAGACGCAACCGCCGCCTCCGGCCAGATGCAGTCACCACCGTGAGGCGGGCGTGAAGGCCTTGCCATCGGCCAGAGTCGGGCCGCACAAGGCTGGCGTCGACTGATCCAGGCGCAAATGTCACAGCATCCACGAGCGCAACCACGATGCTCAGAAGTGAAGAAAACATGATGAACACAGCTAACAGGTTCGTTTTGTACCTTCTGTATGCGGAGATCATCAATTTAATGTAGAGGCAAGCAAATTTGCCTCGATATATGACTTGTCACCGTTGATCTCCACTAGTGCAGGCCGATGTTATTCTTCGTCTTCCCTGCTGCAATCTGATGGCAGAAGATGATTCAGTCATGGAAGATCACGAGGCAGTAAGCCATGGCCGTGGTCGTCGTATTCGTTCTTGGCGAATCTCCAGCGGAGTGCTCCGGGCTTCGAACTTCTCAGCGGAGAACACGTGCGTTGTTGCCAGTGGCCTCTGCTTCTTCACTTTCGAGAGATGGCAGAGAAGGTAATGCGTGCTGATAACGTGTTTAGCGTAGAGTGTCTTTGACGTAAAGCAAGTGACTCAAGAGATAAATGAGATTGGAAACTCTTGTTCATTTATTGATTCATGGTTGTACATATATACACACACGTGAAAGTACACTTTCGAAGAGATACCTTCTAAGAGAGCGGTTGATCGCTAATAAAATGACTCACAACAGTGGGTAACAACAAACATCGTACGCGTGTCGCTCGCTGTCGCGGTCTCCCTCGCCCGCGCGCCGCGGCTCCGCTGCTGCTCGTGGGCTCGTGGCGCATCCGCCGCGCGTCGCCGTCGGCCGCGCCAAATCCAGGGCTGGCTACGGTTACGGTACAAAAACAGGTGGGTCGGAGCATGACGTTCCCACTTGCAGCGCTGTGCCGGGACATTGGTAAGCTGGGGCCTCGGAGCTGGCTGCTAGGCAGGATCGGAATCGGAGCGGAGGCGGGATCAGAGGGCATTTTTTGCTTCTGGGTTCTGGCTTGTGCCGCGTGTCCGCGCGAGGGAATGCCGACGCACCGCGCGCACGCGCGTCCGGAAGGTTCCAGAGTTTGGCCAATCGCTGCGCACGCAACTACCGCCGCGGCCGGGCCCGCCACAACTGAAAGTGGGGTTGGTAGCGCTCGCGGCTTGTGACTTGTGAGTCGTGAGTCTTCCCGCCGGCCGCCGGCCGACGTGAAGCGCCTGAAATTCTTTCAGTCCTTCGTGATGCTTGGAGGAGGTCCTGGTAGGATAACCAACCAATAATATAGAACCATCGGCTATGCTTGTGCATGTGATTTGGGGTCGACCGATTAGACAAACAACTACAGGATAGCACGTAGAGTAAGCGTGTGTGTGAATTTTGTACGCGTAGCTTTTCGTCAAGACGTTAAGTCCTAAATGGTTCCTTCGTGACCATGACGATTCAAGATCCCGCAGCATATGCAATAGAAATAGATATTTGAGACTTTTATACCTCGTGTTTCTTTGAACCAATAGATATATCGTAAAATAGAATTTTATAGCTATTATTAAAAATGCTAAATTGAAGAATTGTTAACATAGGGTGAAAATAACGTGTGAACGAGATGCGAGAAAACTACAATTTCTAGGGTCAGAGCATCTCCAAGATCTTTCTAAAACTCATTATGTAAATTATCATCTGGAGAGTTATTTGCGTAAAAAATATTTTTTTACTATCTTTCCAACTTCCAATAACTTTTTTTTGTATCTATTGTATATTCTAGAGAGCCATCCTCCCTCCCTATCTTAACTGGCGAGCAATCCAAAGTAGAGAATGATTATATTTGGAGATCCATTTAAAAAACACGCGGCAAACCACCTTCTTCATGGAATCGTGAAAACTCTATAGAAAAACATTCTTAGGAGTTTTAAAAAAATAAAACGATGCACATCCATAGTGAATCTATAGGTGTGTATTGTCACAAAATTTGAGATTCAAACTCCGTCTAGAAAAAAACATACAAAAAGAACAAATTTTAGTTGCACCGACACTAGAAGACAAAAATTTTGAGAATTTGTCTTCCATTGCATATGTACCCAAAATTTGTCATTTTCATATGAATTTTTATAAAATGAGTTTGACTCTCAAATTTGGTGACAATATGGCCTCGTTTGCTGGTCTGAAACTTGACAGAAAAACACCGTTTCGACTGGTTTGTTATGAGAGAAAAACATTGTTCAGCTGGTTTAATGAACAGTAATTTGAGAGGGGGAGCAGCCGGCTGGCTGGTCTGAACCAGTGAACGGCCCCTGTATATCTACAGATGCACTATGATACATGGAAAAGAGAAGATAGGTGAAAAAAAAGGGCAAACGTGCATGCTAGAAAGCTAATTGAACGGCTGGTCGGCCGTGCGTTAGCTGCATCTCAATCTTAAACCCTACTAAAATGTGGTCACTGATTTTTCATCCTCTCCGTGATAAGCCAAAACATAAAGAACTTGTGACGTTGAAAGCACTACTACCGCAGAAGTAATCGTATTCTAGGTAGCCTGGCCGCTTGGGGTTCTAATTCTAGCGCGAAAGCTAGCCGTCGGTACCTCACCACCGTTCTCCGGCATATACTGCTATATTTTAATTGGTGGATGCGGCGAGCGCCGTTGGTCAAATCGCGGCCGGCCACGTCTCTCCTCCACCGGCCCTCCCCCACCCTCTCCTGGCCCCGATCCTTGCGATGTGGCCGCTTCTAGGGGCCGACACGTCCGCCGGCAAGGGCCCTGGGCCTCTGACTTCCAGAACCTTCCTGCCGCTTCCTGGCCACGAATGCCCGTCCCAATCCAGCGGCCCAGCGCGCGCCACTTGTCAGGGACCGGCCACGTCGGCGTCCGATGTGGCGCCCCCGCCCCCGAAGAAACTGATACGGTCCCAAACCTCGCGGCTCTCAGCCTCACGCTCGGAAAAGCAAGTGGCCGCCGCTGCCCATTCCGCCGCAACCAACACCAGCGTCTTGCTTGCTTGCACCGCTGTTCGCGCCCCGGCCGCCAGCGATCGAAATCAGCGGTGGATTTGGAGAGGCCAAGTCTCCTGGAGGGGATGAACGGCCGCGGCGGCGGAGGAGGAGGGGGAGGGGAGGAGGAGATGGAGGAGGACGGCGGCCCCGGCTGCGCGCAGGGGCCGGGCGCGGGCGCTGGGAATAAGGAGCGGGTGGTGCTGATGTGGGGGTACCTGCCCGGCGTGTCGCCGCAGCGCTCGCCGCTGCTCGGGCCGGTCCCCGTGAGGTTGCCCCCGTCGGCGGCGGCGGCCGCCGGTGATGGGTGGAGAGACGTGTGCGGCGGCGGGTGCGGCTTCGCTATGGCCATCTCTGGTGACGTATCCTGTTCTCTTCCTCATTGTTCCCGTGCTGATTCTCTGCTACCTTTCAGTTCGTTGGTTCTTCGCGTGGGATGCGGTAGATCTGTTGGGGTCTCCGCCTGTGCCGTTTTCGCCCCGGATTGCGTAGGAATCGTTGGGGGGCGATTTTGTATGAAGGATTCTGGCGAAATTTTGCGAACTGGATGGTGTTAACCCTCGATTATTCGTGTTTTCGTTTTTGTGGGGAGAGGGCGGTTGCTCCTCTTGAATTGAATCGGTGCTTAAAGGCTGAGCTCAGAGCGGAGAAGTTTCCTTAGTGTGATTTTGCTTTAGGTATAAGAATCTGTTAGGAATGAAGTAGGGATTTGATTACGAGTGTAAAGTGGTTTCAATGCTGAAGGTGAGCCTACAGGAGGCAAAGCAACATTGTTGAGTAAAGTTCCCTTTCTTAGTTTTTTTCGAACCTGATTCCTGTTATGAGGATCAAACAGTAACTGGCGGTGCCTACAAAGTAGGGTAAACAAGGGTCTTGGAATGCCATTGCTTCTTTCTTAAACATGGCGACAATCATCCTTGTTTACACGTGCTATACGCGCCTTGCTGGCTTATCATCTTCCACAAAGTTCATGCAAAGTTCAACAAATTACTAGCTCTAGGCTTTTAGCTACAACTAGAAGACTCCATTAATCCATTTGTCCTCTTATATGTCAAATTGCACATTTCCTTTGTTATACTCCCTCCGTTTCAAATTATAAGTCGTTTTTTAGCTTTGTCCTAAGTCAAACTTGACTAACATTGATCATGTTTATAGAAAAATATATTAGCATCTACAATATCGATTAAATATACCCTATCAAAATATATGTCACAGTGTATCTAGTTTGATGTTGTAGATGTTTGTGCATTTTGCTATAAACTTGGTCGATGACAGAGTAGTTTGACTTGGAACAAACTAAAACAACTTACAATTTGGAACGGAAGAAATAGTTGCTAATTTGTTGTCATGCAGTTCGACCAAACTCTGAACCTATTTCTTTTCATTTTTCTAATTTTCTCAGAGTCTGGAAAACTCCTCACTTGGGGTTCTGCTGATGACATGGGCCAAAGTTATGTGACTGCTGGGAAGCACGAGGTGATATAGCATTGATGCTTTTTTGCTTTCGTGCCCCATGTGAGAAAGCTCAGGACCGATTACTAAGATAGAATATTATACCTCTCAGGAGACTCCAGAGGCTTTTCCTCTTCCTAGTGGCGTCGCAATAATGCGGGCAGATGCGGGATGGGCTCACTGTGTTGCAGTAACAGGTATTTAGCGATCCAGGTTCCTAGTTTTGATCTAAACATTGCTCATAATTGTGGTATTGTTCTTATTATTGTTTTGCTGGAACAGATGAAGGTGATGTTTATACATGGGGTTGGAAAGAATGTGTTCCAACTGGAAGGATTATTGGAGACCAATCATCAGTTGGAACCATGGAGAAGGATGAAAGACAAATGGCAATGGCCACTGACCAAGGTGGTAATGCTTATTTCCTACATCGTTTGCTTCCTGCCTAAAAAATATAAGCTTCTCTACACCAATTGTTTACAGATATAACAAAGGCAACTCCATTACAGTGAGCCCCAGGTCGCAGGTGTCTAGGACAAGCAGCGGAGCAGCATCTGGTCCTTCTGAAAGCAGAGGCACTGATGATAGCACAAAGCGACGAAGGTTGTCTTCAGCAAAACATGGACCTGAGAGCTCGACATCCAGTGATGAAAGTCTTTCAGCACCCCCTTGTGTTGTGACATTTAATACAGGAGTGAAAATAGTGGCTGTAGCTGCTGGTGGTCGTCATACATTAGCACTATCAGGTAACCTGCATTTGTCATTATGACACTGACAGTTGCCCTGTAAGGATATTTACTGACTAAAATATTTTTTCTCCGAAGCTTCAGATTTAGGTCAGGTGTGGGGTTGGGGATATGGAGGAGAAGGGCAACTAGGTCTTGGTTCTAGGATCCGAACGGTTTCTTCTCCCCATCCTGTACCGTGCATTGAATCAGCACTATACAGCAAGGATCGGCTATCAGCTATGAAAGGTAACAAGGCTGCTGAAGGACATGTCAGTAAAGTCTTGGGAAATTGCGTGAGGGCCATTGCTTGTGGAGGTCGTCACAGTGCTGTAGTAACAGGTCAGTTATATATTTTTAGTTTGTTTCTGCTAGTAATTACCATGTTCATGTCGAGACATCTCTGTCATTCTGGATCTCAAGGTAGTTTGAAAAGTTAGCTCTATGGAAAACAAGAGATTTCAAATCAACATTTTATGTCTGCTCTGTAACAGTATAACCCTAGACTTTGGACAAACACTTGCTTTCCAGGCTAGTAAACATATATTTACCATTTTGCAAGATTGTAGAAAATGCAAGAGCTCAGACAAAAAGGTGCTCAGTAGACATAATATTGTAATCCTGGCAGTACTTTTCTCTCTTTTTTAAGAGAATCATATCTTCAGAATGGTTATCACGTTTTTTACTATACAAGAGGAAATATAATTCTGGAATCTAGTCTGAGGATCTGAGTTGCTACTAAAGGGCTTTCTAAGCTCAAACCACAATACTATTTTTCAAACCACCTGCAACTGCAAATTTTTAGTTATCAGATTGTAGCAAAGGTTTAGTTTCATGTGAAGTTGAAGTTTTTCCAATAGATATGCAATTGTAGTCAAAATTTGCCCTTGTTTTTAATGTTCAAGTCCTGCTTGCAGATTCAGGAGCTCTTCTTACATTTGGATGGGGGCTGTATGGACAGGTTAGCTTTTTCTATCCAGCCAGTTATTTGGTCAAACAAAATTTTGATCCTTTTTCCTTTGAACCAAACACACACATTGAAGTAGCTAACAAAAAACTATATGCTCAGTGAGCAGCATTCTATGTCTTAGTGTTTGGGTCAAGGATTCAACTAGTTCAATGAGAACGGGAATTAATCATAAAAAAACTGCCACCTTCATTTGAGTATGGAGAATATAGCAATCTTGATATTCTTTCAAATTGTCACATACTTCATAACAAACCCATGTATTAATTCCTTTAGTTCATTATTTGTAGTCTATGTATATGTTGAAATTTGTATCATTAAAAACGATGGGTACCATATTTTCACACTTCTCCTTTTTAATGGCATGTTTTGCTGTGTGCATCTATTTCTTGCTTTATATGTTATATAGGATTGTAATGTACCAATGTGCTTCATTTGTCACAACCATGCTCTTTGTTCTGTACCAATGTGCTTCATTTGTCACAACCATGCTCTTTCTTCATCAGTGTGGACAAGGGAATACAGATGATGTTCTAAGTCCGACGTGTGTATCGTCTATCCTGGGAATCAAGATGCAAGACGTTGCCGCAGGTTTGTGGCACACTGTATGTACATCTGTAGATGGTGATGTGTATTCGTTTGGAGGAAACCAGTTTGGGCAGCTTGGCACTGGTTCTGATCAAGCTGAGGTATAGAGTTTTCGATGTTAATAGATGGCACTACAGTCAACACACTTTTGGTCCATAGAGATGCCCTTAGTTGTGGATGATGTTCACCTACCTGATGGCATTTGACATCTTTTTATTTCAATGCAGACTGTTCCAAAATTGGTAGATGCTACAAGCCTGGAGAATAAGAATGCCAGATCTGTTTCTTGTGGAGCTCGCCATAGTGCTATCATAACAGGTAATTTTTTGTTGTTCTAATGTTTGTTTATAGGGATATCAGTTGTGTCATCTTGTAAACACCTGTGCCTTTCTTACATGACTACACTACTCATGTAGGGTATATGAGTTCTAATCTTCTTTTACTTGTATCTTGCTATTAGCTTTATTATATACGAGTGCCTTGTTGCAAATGGACCTAATGTTACCTCATCTTTTTTCTGAATGCCACCTCATCCTTGGATGCTCTCATTTCAATCAAGAATAAAAGGTTCTGTGCTAATCAGTGACTGAACTGATTTATCATTGGTCAACCCAGGAATAGACTTTTTTTCTTTTGATTATTTCATTAAGTTGTTCTTGCCAGCCGGTAGAAGTATCACAAGGGGTCTGCAGTCATTTACACACATACATATTGATCCCGCAGGTCTACTCGAAGTAGACCAGGGGCAGAACTAAGGCAGTGAAAAAAAAATGTATCTAGAGAAATGGAAGAGGGTAGCTATATTATCAGGAATTGTTTCCATCTGACAAGGGTTACACACAACTATTGCAGATGAAGGCGAGGTATTCTGCTGGGGATGGAACAAGTATGGCCAGGTGGGTGCCCCTTAACATACCTTTTACATATTGAAATGTAAAATTAGCTTGATTTATCGAATTTGTATTCGCTTATGCAGCTTGGTCTTGGCGACTCAATGGACAGGAACGTGCCTTGCAGTGTTCCTGTGGACGCTTACCACCCGCTAAACGTGTCTTGTGGCTGGTGGCACACCTTGGTGCTCGCAGAGTCGCCTACTTGAAACCTGACAAAGAAATTACCTTAGATTGACAATTTTGTTAGGAACTTGTAGGCTCGTGCAGGTGCGGTGATGCTGCATTTCATCGTGTACATACATGGCAGTGCATACAGATATGTGTATTCATTCTTTGCGGTGCGCTCTTCAACCTGTGCAACGTAGACAAAGCTTGTATCGCATTGCGTATACACAGTTTGAGTAGGATTGCCTCGACAAATTGTGCTTGAAACTGGACTCTATAACTCCTGTCAAGACTCGAGAGGTTACGCTGCCCCTTCATTACTAGTGGAAAATTTTTCTACAGGCAAGTCGGGGTATAGCCGGTTTCCGAGACTGCTGACTACAGACGCACGCGTTCCTCGTTACAGAACACGTATCTGCAATATCGTGCTGGTTGTGAGTGCGATTCAACTATGGGTCTCTGGCAGGGCTTTTGTTGTGACTTCATCAATTAAATTTAAAACCCTACCAAACGAGGCACAAGAACGGTTTCTAAAACTTAAAAAACCAAGATCTCTTTGGCAGGGGTAAACGGGGAATCCAAGAAAAGCCACGTTTTAGTGGATTCAGCTTTAACAGTTTCACCATTTTTTTAGTTAAAAAAGCCATTCTTATCTGTATCCATTTGATAGGGCTTCTAATTAAGCCCGTGGAAAAGCTCTAACAAAAACTCAGCCGAAGTGGGCCCAAGTCATAAACTGTGAAGCCGAAGCCGAGGGCAAACAAAAGAAATCACCCATACGTCGCTTTTCCTGGCTTCTCTTCTCTGCCAAAGAGGGACCGTGGAAAAGCTCTAACAAAAACTCAGCCGAAGTATTTTTGCTGTCTGAGCCTTGCCAGCGTGTCTGATAAGGCATAATTGCTCAGTAACTAAAAATGACACCAATCTTACACGTCATTAACTTATATAAGTTGCATGCACTTTAGTATTTGTTCACCTACATAGCAACATCAAAACTGGAGACGATAATGCCCCGTTGCAAAAACATTTATATACAACAGATGGGGGCATTTACAGGCACAAAAAGAAATAAAGTTACATACGACCCCAGGTTGAGGATCTGCCGGAGACGATTGGTAAGTCAGCAACTGCTTTCCTGTAAGACACAAGCATCTGCAGTTTGCCACAGATGCTCGTGGATTTATTGTGCTTCCACTTGCTAGCAATCCTTGAGTTAGAGCCTACGGGCTGTTTTCGATGTAGATTATCCTGAAACCTTCAGAAGGCTAATTGTAAGAACCACCAGAACATTCAGTACCCTGACACACTCCACAAATATTTAGCATACGCTAGATAGCTTGGATGCACAAGTTGCTTCAATCTCAAACGAGGATGAGGCTTGTTTTGAACTTTTTGCTACAGGGTTAATCAATCTTGAAGTACCATGCATATATAGTCCAAAAACTTGAAAGTATAAAATGGCAGCTACTGAGACAACGATACTAGTAAACAAGGGTATGAAACTAATAATCCTGGGCAGTTAAATATTAACATTAAAAACTAGAAAGCATAGCATTTAGTCACTCGGTTAACTTACAGGATTTTTTTCTTCAATAGGGAAGAGCAGCATAACCCTTAGAAGCGGGGGGCTTTCGATAGAGGGCCCACTGTTGGCATTGCTGAAGGTTCTGCCATCGGAGGTCGTATTTGATGGTTGCCAACAGAGTTATTAGCACCAAGTTTATTGCTTGTGCCTTTGATACCAGTAGCATCACTTTCTGATTGTTGGGGATCTACCAATGGCTTTACCTGTTGCAAATTAAAATTCAATCAACCTTCCGTTTGAGCATTCATGATAGATTTCAACCTTACAAAATAACTTGTAAAGCCTACAAAATAAACTCAAGCAAAATTCACTACTATAGTGAGGACGTTGATGTGAGTAGAGTCCAGTGGGGCTTATTGTATACTTGTATAGCACAAATGCAAAGACAAAGGGACTAAAGAGAAAATTGTGCCTCTGTGCAAGATAGGTTAATGAAGAACAATAGTAATTGCAAAGTGATGTGATCTTACAGAATTTCTTTGAGGATTCTTATCCTCCCTTGAGAAACCAGGAACAGATAAATGCCAATTTCTTTCTGCAAGATAACAAATTGAAAATTAATGAGTAAAATAAGAGGTAGTAGCACATGTGTGCATGAGAGCATGGTGAACCTACTGACCTAAGTGCAGCAACACATCCTTGGCTTCAACAACTGATGATTTCCTGTGCTTTGCCAAGGTACACGCAAATGCAGTCACCTACCGCAAACCCATGTCAGCTGAATCACAAGATATCTCCACGGATAACATATGCTCAAAACTTAGAAGAGGAAGATGCTCAAATTCTGAATTTGATAGGAAGTTATACTCTCTAAACAAATAGCAAAGCAACAACATTACCGAGTCAATGAAGTCATCAGCGATTTCTAGAAGTAAATCCTCCACTTCAGGGTCAACTTTGCCTAGGGGGTCTACCTGTAATAAGACTATTGTTTAAGAACAGACCAAAGTATTATATTCAACAATAAAAATAAGAAACCTGTTTCCAATCAAAATGTGATTATGACCAGTAACATTAATTACACCAGTGACAGTGAAGTTGAGGGGCACAGAAAAGAAAAGAGCCAGGTCGTAACCTGTGCAACCAGATCTTGTATTTTTCTTTTCCCAAGAAGTTGGCTAGTTCCTTCAGCTCCCTGATTTGCACTTCCACCAGTCATAGTTCCAACTGACAAAGGTGTACCCGGTTGTGAGGCTGTAAGGTTCGCAGACTTCTGCGAACCAGATGCTGAAACACGTGGAGATTGTAGCGGTTGCTGCTGCTGCAACTGCTGCAGAAAATGTTGCTGCTGAATCAGCTGTTGGGCACTGAGATGTGGATGCTGTTGGTGGAGTTGGAGAAGTTGTTGTTGGCTCAATCCTGTCTTCTGCTGAAGTTGCTGCATCAACAGGAGCCTCTGCTGGTGCTGATATTGTTGCTGTGGGGAAACTGGTGAGCCCATGGATGATTGCATTTGCTTCAACCACTGCTGCTGCTGTTGCTGAGGCACAGACATTGCCACCATCTGTCCATTTTGTGATGATCCAGACAGTTGTGAATTTAATGCTGTAATTGACGCTGTCCTCGACAGACCTTGACCAGGTACCTTCTGTAAACCAATCATATGTAAAAAGTTACGGTATTCCACCGGAGAATAGTAAATACTACATAAACAAGATACGTGGTAAATGGTTAAAAATAAACAACAAGATACATGTAGCAACTTCAGCATGTACCATGTGCAACTCAGGTTTGTTAAAACATAAATGGGAAATAGGAATATAGGCACACTGATCTCAAAACTCAAAACAGTTTTAGTAACACAGTGGATTAAAGAAAGACGAGACATGTTACGAACATACTGTTTATTACTTTTTTCAGAATTGGGACATAAATAAATGTGCTTACAACTAGAATCTTAACACACTGCATCATTCCTTATTACTAGACCGGGCAAAAGGCCGTGCATACGAATTTGTGGAACCTTATCTCTTGTCGCTAGGTTGTCAGGGTACCTGTGGAGACAGTGCAGGTTGTTGAGACGCTTGTGGCCTCATTTGTGCATGGGCAAACCTTTGTTGAGCACCATAGGGAATAGTTCCATTCGGTCTCATCTGGTTCATCCCCATAGTACCCATGACACCCATGGACTGCATCCCTTGCAGCGCTTGAGCTGTATTAGCATTATTCAATTGTGTGCCTTGTGCCATGCCCTTCTGCCTAGCCTGCAGTAAAAGGAAAAGTCAATTACTCTACAAGTAGTCACTAAGAAATAAAGAAAGTAAGAAACAAAGCATGTTCGCTTGGTCGTAAACGATCGTGGATTATAAGCCACAACAGTATTTTTCTCTCACACCAAACCAGCCAGCAGTAATAATCCACGATCGTTTGAGCCGAAACGAACAGGCTGAAAATACTCTCCCTATATTAACTTAAGACCAAGCTGGATGTAGCTACCTTGAAATGAAACACTTTCCTCTCGCGATAAAAAATTGCAAAGGTAAACTGGGGACATTATCATTCCTTTTAACAGGCCATTTATTCATTGTGCCATTTTTATCAGTAAAATAAGTATTTACTACCACTAGTAGAACTGTACTAATGAACATTATTGCTAAGAGATATCATAACCAAGTTTAGATAATTTACATTCTTTCACAGTCCACCTTCACATTCAAGAGTAACAACCATCTGTATTCCTTGTCAATGTCATGATCGCACAGAATAAATAACATTGAAAGAATGCCCTAAAAAAGAATTAGATATCATGTGGATTCGCTACTCATTTCCTATTAACTGAGCACAGATGGGTAAAGGAAATCTATTCAACTTTGCTTAATAAGCTTTGACTACCGATGTATATTCTTTCATCATTCCATTTGTTTGGCTCAGTGGCTTGCAATAAAAATACGAAGCTGTTTGTACCCATCAAAACCAAACTGATTGAAGAGAGTAAAAGGTAAGGAATTTCTAAGACCAAATTCTATCTGAAATTGTTCAGATTGCTTCAATAGCATGAGAAATGTAAAGCAGAAGTCTAAAACCCATGACATTTTATCCTTGGCGGTTATGGTGGACGCTATGCACGAGGAGATGCAAAATTATGTTTACTTGGGGAGGTCACAAGCCTCCAAATTGAGTAATTCACCTGCACCATCATCTGCGACTGAAGCCCAAAATGTGCCGCAGATGCCGCGTTCCCCTGGCCTTGCAGCATCCCCAGCTGGCCCTGCCCAAGCATGGGGGCGCGCCCCGCCAGCTGCTGCTGCTGCTGCTGCTGCTGGCCCACGAGCCCTCCGCCACCCGAGAAGCTCATCTGCCCGCCGTACATCCTAGCCGCCGCGTACTGCTGGAGCTGGCTGGCCGTGGAGAGGTGTGAGGCCGACCCCGAGCGAGGGATCTGGCCAAACCCGGCGGCGCCGGCCCCGGCCTGCGTGGGCGAAGGCGCCTGCAGCTGCGGCGGGCGCGGGGGGTAATCCATGGATCCTCCGCCGCCCGAAGCGGAAGCTGCCGCTGCCGCGGCCGCCGGGTCGAGCTGCTGCGGGGACGAGATGTGCGCGGAGAGGTCAGAGACGGTCGGGGACGGGGGGATTTGCGGGGAGAGGAGGTGGTTAGGGTTGGGGTTCTGCGGGGTGGACACGGAGGCCGCCGCGGCCGCGAGCTGGTCGGCCTGCGCCGGCGAGGCGGAGGCGGCCACGGGCGGCGGATCCGCCATGGCGCGGCGAGGCGCAGGCGTGGCGTGTAGGGTTTCAGCGGCGGCGGTCGGACGCGGTTGCGTCGGGGGGCGGGGGCAGGTACGGGTCGTGTGGGACAGTTTGACGTGTGCCCGTAGTCTTTTCGCGGTTGAGTCAGAGGGGAGGGTTAAGTGCTGTTTGGGTCACTGGCGGACGGGCCCTACGGGATCTTTTAGCGAGTATAGCAGCAATAGCACAGCATGGCAGGAGCAGCGAGTCGTGATCTCGTCAAAAAAAGACGTTCTGCACTCACTAGTATCTGGATCAGACACTCTGCTTAGCGACATTCGTGCAAAGTGCAAGGCTTCGGCTGTATATGTGTAGGAGTATTCTGCAGGCAAAGGTTGTGTTTAGTTGGAGGGAAAGTTGGAATTTAGGTACTGTGGTATTTTTATTTTTATTTGGTAAATAGTGTTCAATCATGGACTAATTAGATTCAAAACGTTCGTCTCGCGATTTTCAACCAAACTGTGTAATTAGTTTTTTTTTTCGTCTATATTTACTATTCCATGTACGTATCGCAAGATTCGATGTGACGGGTACTGTAGCACTTTTTTGGAACTATTTTTGGAACTGAACACGCGCAAATACTACTAACCCTGTTCATGGTTTGGTTATTGCGGCTTTGAGCGGATTTGCAACCCAACCCATTCTTTAAGCACACGGATTGGGTTGGTTCGGTTTATACGGTCACACAACGGCTCCGACGTGATGGGTAAGACACGAGAGCCTGCCGGACAGGCTGTCGGCTTCGGTAGTGTGATTCGGTTATGTTTTACAGTTGGTTGTTTACTCTCTTCCTTCCCTTCCATTCTATTTCTACTCCTCACTGCTGGGCTTGGGTTCGCAAATGTTACAGACCCATTCTGGGGCGGACACTCTTGTTCTTGGGCCTGCTACGAGTGCTCCTCTTGGGCTCGGTGATGATTGGGTGCGGCGTCATGACACCCCCTCCCCTTGCGACCCGGCATGTCCCCAGGCCGGAGCAAACGGAAAGCGCTGCTGAATTGCCTCTGCATCTTCCCAGGTGGCGAGTTCCGCATCCAGGCCGGACCATTTGATCAGGAATTGAACAACCGCACCTGTGCGACGGGGATGGAGACGGCGCTGTAGCATTGCCTCAGGGACTTGCAAGCCTTCTGCCGACTCTGGTGGATCCACCGAGATAGTATACTTGGTCGACGGGGCAGCCTTGAGTAGAGAGACGTGGAATACCGGATGAACAGATGACGACTCCAGCAGGTCCAGCTTGTAGGCGACATCTCCGATCTTCTCCAGCACCTTGTATGGCCCGAAGTAACGGAAGGAGAGTGTCGGGTTCATAAACCCGGGGTCCTTCGAGGACCGGCCTCCCAACAAAGGTTCAGCCCAAGCAGACAAACGCACAACTCATGGGCCGACCCAACTAACTGAATGACAGGCCAAAGGGGCGATCGAATCTCCAAGCGGGAGGCCTGGTCGAGGAAGAACAACACCCGCTTTCTGATTCCGGCCCACCTCTCCGACTGGAACACTCGCTTTGGTCTCCAGCCCGCCTCCGGATGGCCTCTCCGACCGGAAGGCCTGGCCAAGGCACTACTTCTGACTCCAACCCGCGTCTCCGACCGGGGATGTGCCAAACCCCTGCTCACGGCTCTTCTCCGATTGGCACGATCAGAGCCGACTAGTACTAACCGACCGGGGACGCCCGCTCGGAAAGGACTAGGGAACGAACGGAGAAAGCAAGGCAGGGCGCACAAGTCAAACCACGATACCAGGGACCGTACCCTGTACACCTGTAGAAACAGTACTCTGTAACCTCTCTGGCACAACAGAGCCCAAACAGTATTGTAGGCGCCAACATTTTCCCTACAGTATTGTGGGCACCATTAACTCCCATACGGTAAGGCTCCCCCCACATGCCTCTGGGCATTGACAGTGTTGTGGGTGCCAGCATCTACCGTACCGAGTCAACATGGTGAAACTCCTCACATGCCTCTGGGCATCAACAGTATAGCAGGTACCGACATCTGCCATACTCGAACAAGATGACACAACCTTCCACGTGCATCTGACATCCAATAGTATTGTGGGCACCTACCATCATCCTGTACCCATCGGCATGGGCAACAAGGCTTAGAAGCATACGTACTCTCTCTCTCACTTGTAAGGCCATCTCCTTCATCTATAAAAGGGGATGCACTCTCTCCCAACAGGAGAGAGATTCAGATCATTCTAGATTCATTAGATCGATCAAGTTCACTAGCACATAACAGCAGAACCACCATGTTCAAACCACGAGCACACGCTCAAACACTTAGCTCATAGCGGAGCTCTTGTCACTCTCGGCCCTTCCGACCGGAGTCTGACCGGACCTCTTGTACCCCCCATCTTTCTCCTTCTCGTTTGTAACCCCACTGCAAACTTCGAGCACCTGGGCTCAGGAATAAAGTCACCGACCGACTCAAACTAGACGTAGGGCACATTCCCTAAACCAGTATAAACCCTGTGTTATTGAGTGCTAGGCCACCTCCGATCACGACGTACGGCAAAACTACAAATATTTACTTGTTGGTCACTTTCTGTACCGACAGTTGGCGCCGTCCGTGGGGAAGACGTTGTACGTTCAACACTTTTTGGTCATCAGATGGCCCACTTTTCTGCCACTTTCTCCATGGAGGGCTCAAGCGATACGATTCGCTTTGGCTCACTGGAGTTTCCCGCACTCCCACCGGTTGGGATGTGGGTTCCACCCGTCTTTGAGCCGTCCCAAGCCTTCCTCTTCGGAAGCCTGGACTTCGTCACCGACCGGCTCGGCGTACTACACCTCCGCGAGGAGGCACTCATTCCAGCACCCGTCGGAGGGGCGTCCTCCATCGGCTCCGGGACGTGCGACGATTTCAACAGCGAGGCATCTGCACTTCATTCCGAGCAACCTCTCTGCTCAAACCCCGCTGTAAGTAATGTACATGCTGTTATCTACTTACTATTCTCTATTTTCCTCCAATTACCCGGAGGGACCCTATTGTCCCTGTCACGACCGCCATACGACCGGTTCCCCAACGGCCTTGCGTCTCCCGCGGACGCGTACGCTCGGGAGCTCCGAAGGATGCCGGCGCCGCCCCCTGTCATGTCCGAATTCGTGGGGATGGCGAGCTATGCTCCCACCTATTTCCTCGACCTCATGGACGACGATGTTGAGAGTGACGGCTCCAGCATCGACGACATGGTGCCTAGCCACCGTTCGTCCCGGGAGTGCGCTATGACGGACGCTCCGGGACAGCCACCGGTGGTAACGGAGTCCTTGCAGACTCACGCCCCTCCGAACCCTCGTGCGGAGACCCCCGAGCTCACACGGGAGCACGGCGAGGAACTACGACAACAGTGGCTGCACCAGCCACCGGCTGCGCCAGCGCGCTCTTCGCACCACACTGTGCCCCGTGCGCATAAACTGGCAAGCGACGCCCAGGGTCACGCCCGTCGGGTCCCCCACAGTTTGCTCGGGCCAATCAAAACATCGCCGCTGCGGCAATGCTTCTACGCGGCCTTCCCGAGCCGAACGACCCTCAGGAACAGGCGATCCACCGAAACCTTCGGGCACTAGTGGAAACCGCCGCCGTTCAACAGGCGGAGAGCTCCGTATCGCGACACCGACTCATGGCCTCTCTCCCCACCAGGAGAATAGGAACACAACAGACGAGTCGCTCCACCGGCTCATCGCTACAACCGCCAAGCGCGGCACAAGAGGCCGCACCTGCACCTCATCTTGACTTTATGACCGCTCCGCACCGACCGCTTATACATGAGCGGCTCGGGCTGAACCGAGACTCACGTAGCAGTGACCGGAGTCCTAGCCCGGATGGCCCATGACCACGGACCTTTGTCCAACGCCTCCAGCGAGCATCGCTCTCACCGTGCTCCAACGGAGGCCGAGGCAAAGGCAAGGCCAAGCGCCAGGATTAGGACGAGGGCCCCTCCACGCAGAAGTGGAAAAAGAACAAAAAAGATCACCGTCGACCGGCCAACTCTGCGTTGGTCGCCACGGCTGATCACATGGGCAAGCAGCCCCAACAGGACCCTACGGGCCACTTCCACAAGCTCAAGGAGAGCCCATGCACCAACCACGCCTACCCCATCAAACACCTCTATAAGGACCGCGAGCTCCTCAAGCGCCTTCTGCGACAGGCCGGCGGGCCAAAGGAAGAAAAAGGCGCAGAAGCAGCGGCCAAGAAAGGGGGCGTAGCGAATAAGGATCCGGACGACTGAAGGTTGAAGTGATCCGACCGGACGTCTATCGACTGAAGGACGACAACGATGACATTCTCACCAAACGTTTGGAACAGCTATGTCGTTTTTCTTCCCCTAAAATTCAGTCTTACCATTGTTTACTTAGCGTTTGCTCCTATAAGAGCACCCTGACCCGAACACTTTTCGCCCTGGGTCGCTCGGGGGCTCCACGAGGGTGCACTACTACATCTCTTTTTTGTTTATTATCATATGGTGAAACTCCTTCCTACCCGAACAAAAGGGTAGTTCGTTCCTTTAATTTGCCTTACGTAGCTTTGCTTTAAAATATTCCGACCGATCGCACCCCGCCTCTACCTACAGTTACGAGCAGCTGAGCCTCGCGGGCCACGCCCTGGGCTCCTAAGGTTGCAGCCTACGAGACAAATGGGCACGTATGAGAAAGAATAAAAAACAAAATTATGCTAAGGTAAAACTAAGGAACGAAAGGGACAAGTTTCCCCGAACGGAGTGACTCCATCACAAAAAATGAAACCGATTGTAGTCATTAAAACACACAAGAACGTTTACACGAGGGCTCCCCCATGAACTTAAACTTTTTTCATCTACTAAACTACTTATACTTTAGAAAGCTATTGGGGCAGCTCGGCGGCATCCACTGTCGGTACGACCGGCAAAGGCGCGGGCTGCTCACTCCCCGGCGAGACCACATTCGGCTCGGCTGAAGGCGGGATGACGTCCACTTTCTACCCAGGCT